TTTTTTACATTTTATTTTAACATATATATTTAACATAATATATATATATATATATATATATATATATATAATGAAAAATTGTTATAATTTAAGATTTGACTATTTAAAAACTGATAATGTTTGACCACTTATCTGAATATTGCCTATAATGATTTAAAGGGGACATGTCTATACATTAGTCAGATTATTTTCAATAGTTAATTCTTAAGTTATTACATTTGTCCCCTTTTTTTATTCGGTATGTGTAACTATTCAATTAATTCTAGAAAAACAGAATTGATGCATGCAGTAAATATTTGAATTGTTGCAAATAACAAAAATAAGGAGTCTGATCAAATGTTATAAGTCTGTTGTGTTTACAGTACTGATTTTGTAGTATTGCATAATTGCTAAACCAAGTTAAATAATCCATGCTTTTTGTCTAATGGTACTTTCAATAATTTCTCTTTTATTTTGAAGCTAATTATAATGACCTGTATCAGTGGTCTGTGGACTCGCTGGGGTATATTTGTAGCAATAGCCAAAAATACAATATATGGGTCAAAATGATCGATTTTTCTTTTATGCCAAAATCATTAGGATATTAAGTAAAGATCATGTTCCATGAAGATATTTTGTAAATTGCCTACCGTAAATATATCAAAACTTAATGTTTGATGAGTAATATGCATTGCTAAGATCTTAATTTGGACAACTTTAAAGGCGATTTTCTCAATATTTAGATTTTTTTGCACCCTCAGATTCCAGATTTTCCAATAGTTGTATCTCGGGTGTTGTATCTCAAAAAACCCTTATGACTGGTTTTGTGGTCCAGGGTCACATATAAGATATATATCGTATGAACATTGTAGTGTACCAAAAACAAAATTTAGAGTATTTTATTTATGCTTTTACGTGTTTATTATTTTGTTTTTAATGAGCTGAATAATTTATGCAATAAAGAGAACTGGGTCAAATTGTATTACAAACAAACAAACAAACAAACCTTATTGCCCTTTAAAGGTGTTTTAAAAAGCGTTTTAAAAACGCAGTATATTATTATGTGTTTATATACATATAGGTTTATTCAAACTTTTAAGAGAATGTCACTCGGGGATGTCAGGTGCGAATACATCGTTATGATGATGATGATTAATAATGTCCTTCTCTGAAATTAGCTCTTCAGAAGAACCGATTGGCAGAAATAGGTCGGATTTCCTTTTCATTGCTATCTAGATAAAACAGTTAGACCGTCCACCATGAATGTGCTAGCCAGCAAATGCTGGTCCATTAACTTCTGAAAAATCTATATATTTATTCAATAAAAACATAAATTTGTGTGAAAACCTGGCACTACATAAAAGGCGGAAGAACATATGGAGGTTGGCAGGGTGGTGTGCGGTTGCGCGGTGGGCGGGGCTTCCGCCGCTGGTTGATTATGTGCGGCTGAAGCTCGAAAGTGACCCATGCGTCTGAGCTCAGCTGCACCAATACACGACCACCGGATCGGCCCGTTTAACTCCCGTAGTGCAGTCTTCATAGGTTACTCACGACACACCGACTCGTGTCATCTGATCATGTCTAAAGACACGGAGGCCAAGAGCGAGGAGATTATGGAGTCGAAGGTGCTCTGGTACCCGGACTCTAAACGAAACACACAAATGGACCGATTCCGGACTCAAGTGAACCGGGACTTCGGGGTGAATCTGGGTGAGTAGAGCCAGCCTGGGCTAGAATGGATGCAGACTAGTATGTCAGCTAACAACACACCCCTATTCCACAGAAAAACAAAACATAGCACTATGGTGTGGTGGTAATCCCATTAATAGCTCATCCTGGGTTATGTCATGGCCACATTTGAGCAAAATCAGTTACTCTAACTATGCTTTCAGTGGTAAATTTGGCCCACTAAAATTTCTCCAGGATCCATTTTGTCTTTAACTCCTTAAATTGCATAGGAAGGGATGTCTGGCCACATATTTCCATTCATTCGTGCATGCCACATCTCAATGCATGTACACACTATGAGTTGTAAAACCAGAATTTCAAATCAGACTGACAGTGTATACCATGCAGTAAATATTCCATAGTCTCATCATCTAACTGCACCTCAGCAGGCGTGACATCAGTTTCATTTATGACAAACTAGCCAGCTAGTATTTGTTGGCATGTTACTAGTATTTAATATTTAGTAAGTAAGTGAATAGTGCTTAGTACATTTTTCAGCTTCACAATTTAATATTCATAAGATACAGTACATATTCATCATTATTCATGAAATACTAGTACTTATTAATTTTGCTACTAGTACCCTAATAGCTCATAGATGACTGCTATTTGCTTTGAGCTAGTAGGTATTGCAGTTGTTGTTGTTGTTACCTCCTCCAGTATTCTCTCTGTGTGTGTGTGTATATATATATTACACGCATAATATTATTTTTTTTTTTTTTTTTTTTCCCTCATGTTTTTGTCCTTTATATATGAATCATATTTTTTCACATTTAAATCTATTGGCATTTAGAGGGTTTTTGTTTGTCATTTCCTGTTGTGTAATGAGTGGCACCCAGGTTCACATTGCCACAAAATGATGTCACCGTGATAATGAATAATTAGTGTGGACTTCAACTAAGAAATCTGATGATGTAGTAGTTGTCACGTTGTGATTGGTTTTCAGTCTTACTTCTGTGGAGGTATACGTGCAATAGATGACAGAGATGATGGACAAACTCATTAGTCACACATGAATCGTGTAACTTTATCCTAGTAAACATTTATGAATTTATTACCATTTAGAACTACTGTCTGAACTACTGCTGGGAATATTTAAAGCTCATATCATACTTCTGGCTAAGAGGGTGTGTTGGGGCTTTTCCGTCTAAGACAGCTGTAGTTTTACTTAAGGAGGGTCAAATGGTAAAACATAATAAAACAACACAATCTGCAGTCTATATATATGGCTTTTTGTCTATGTATATCCTTCTCAGACTATTTTATTGCATGCTCTGTCTTGATTATTTGCCGACTCAAAGATTGTTTTATTATTCAGTTTTATGACAACATGGATTGCAGTATGTTTGTGTAGTTTAACTAATAATTGCAAAGGGTGTTTGTTCATATCAAAGAAGGGTGGTGGCTAGAATGCCTTCTTTCAAACCAGCTTAAATAAAAAAATTAAGTTTAGTACTAAAATTACTAAAACTGAAATAAAAATACATGGAAGCTAAACAGAAATAAAAAAAATAACAAAATGAAAATATAATAATAAAGGCTAATTCAAAACATCAATAAATACCATAAAGTACATAAACATGACTAAAATATCCCTGTCTCAAACGGATGTACAGATGTTTGCACAAAGAGAAATGATTTTAAAAGGTGCTCCATCAAACAGGCTGATGTGTGACCTTGCTCACTCTCTGTTTCAGGTGGTTGATGTGTCTAAAAGGATATCTGATGTACCCGAGTGGTTTAAAGGCAGCAGACTGAATTATGCAGAGAACCTGCTCAAACACAAAGACCAAGACAAAGTGGCTCTCTATGCTGCAAGTAAGTCACAGCCAATCTCTGAACTACCCAAGTTTATTACTCTGCTCTCGTTCAGCATTCTGTGGTCAAAACAAGTTTTGTGTAAACTATTACTGAGCATGCCTCTGGTCAGCATAATTGCCTAGACTGTGCTAGTTTCACTCTGAATGAAATAATGTAATCTCAAATCAGTATTTCATATCTGTTTATTTACTTGCTCGGTAGTAGCCGGATAATAAGCAGGTTAAATTGGACACTATTGCAAAATGCACCCTTTCTGGTTGATCCTGATGCTCCTGCCTGGGTTTATTTTTTTTGATAATAAGCTGTCTGACTGTATATTGTCCATAGTGAATACAATGAGAAAAATCTGATGTTTGATGCTTCATTATGTCGAGTGTCTTATGGCGTAATGGAGTATATTGTCTATGTTATTTCAAGAGAAATTTCAGCTTTGCGTTATTTGCAGCAAGATTTTGCAGAAGTCATGACATAATCATAATTGGCAGAACTGAATTCAGTGGCAGTCATCCAGGTCATATAAAATCAGATAATGGCGAGTCACTCCACTCTCCCAAACTGCGCACTCAAGCACAAGCAATGCTAATCTTTTTTTAACTTTCTTATTTATCTAAGAATGGCATCAACTGCATTCAAACCCTGGTTGCCATTGCATCTTTCTTTTTTTTTCTGTTAAACATTTCATTACACATTTTATTACCAGTATATCTCCAAGACCAAACGTCTCCCAATTCAAAACAAGATTCTGTATGTCTGCTGATCTCCTTGAGCCTTTGTCAGTCTAACCTTATACACAAATGGCTACTTTAAAATAGCAACAGCGCTGTGTGCATATGTGTTTTATCTGTATAGATAGAATCTGTCATTGCAGTCCTCTGGCTAATGTAACACTAACTGAATTATGCTGTCTGTAATTTGATTTGTGGGTTTAGCGTCTGTGTAGGGGCGGGATGCACGTAGTTGTGCTTTTATATTGTGATGGATGTCCTGATGCGGTCCAGGAAAAAGCGGGTGTAATTACCAAAGTGGCATCTATCAGAAATGTACCTGTGTCATTGGCTTGTGTCTTCGTGAAATAAGGAGGCTCATTTACCTGAAAAAGTAGATTACATAGGACTCTGAAGCGCAAATTAAATTTAACACTTCGTTTGCTGATTACGTACAGTAATGAAAAACATTACCCGAGTTGCCTGCGATATCTCTGCTGCACCACAGTCACAGATGGCAAAGAATTCTCTTGTTGATACTGAACTGATAATGTAAGCCTAAGGTAGATTTAATTATAATGGAGACAATTACAACAGTCAATACAGGACTGTTTGAAAGTTTGGGGTCAGTCAGATTTTTATGTATTTAATTTTATTATGCATTAAATTGATCAAAAGTGTCAGTCACATTTATCATCTTGCAAAAGATTTCTATTTTGAATAAACACCGTTCTTTTGAAATTTCGATTCATTAAAAAAAATAGGTCACACTTTATTTTAAGGCCCGATTCTCACCATTAACTACAAATTTTGCCTCAAACTCCTAATTTGCTGCTTATTAATAGTTAGTAGTGATTTGGGATGTAGAATATGGTCATGCAGAATATGTGCTTTATAAGTACTAATAAACAGCCAATATGTTAATAATAGGCGTGCAAATAAGCAACTAGTTAATAGTGAGAATTGGTCCCTGTACTGAAGTGTTACCAACGAATATGAAAAGATAATATATCATGATTTTCACAAACACATTAAGCAGCACAACTGTTTAATCAACGGTACTGAAGAAATGTTGCTTGAGCACCTAATCAGCATATTAGAATGATTTCTGACACTGCTGTTTAAAACTAATCTTTTCCATCACAGAAGTAAATTTCATTTTGAAATATATTCAAAGAGAAATCAGTTATTTTAAAATGTTATAATATTTTGCAAATTTTTTTTTTTAAATAAACGCAGCCTTTGTGAGAAAAAGGGATTTCTTGCAAGAATAGGCCTATTTAAAAATCCCAAATTTTGAATGCTAGTGTTTATTATGATGGTTATTATTAAGAAAATGTAACTAAAATAGGCCTACCTTTAAATAATAATAAAATCATAATTATTATTTTATTTTAAAAAGTATTGTCTTCTTTATTTTTTTATTTATTATAGCATGTTTAAGATTTATAAAAGTTACAATTAAAAAAATAATCTTTTTTTTTTTTAAAGCTGAGGCAAAAGAGGAGATCGTCAAAGTGACTTTCGGAGAGCTGAGGCGTGATGTCGCTCTCTTCGCTGCTGCCATGAGGAAGATGGGCATCAAAACTGGAGACAGGGTCGTAGGTGAGCATCACTGCCCTTTCTCTTTCACTTTGTCCGTCTCTTATTATTTTGTGTTGCCCTTTCTCACTCATCCATTTGACACCCACATGACAGCAGTGGAATGAGGAAATACAAGTCAATACTGAACCAAATACAAGAAAATCTAACACTGTTTTATATTGCATAGGGCCCTAGGCACTCTAACCTGTTTTTCATGCCCTCTTACTTTGCTTTTTTATTCTGTCCTTGTTTGTCTTCATGAGTGTCCCAACTCTTAGCCAGGCAGTCGCTCCTGAAATCACAAACTCCCCTATTCTGTCTCAGTTCTGGGGTTCAGCCAGAGCCATTCATGGCTGTGGAAGGAGAATAAGGGGGGCGCAGTTATACCGTGGCAGGGGTAATTAGTCTTTCTAAGCAGTGCAGATTTAAAACTTCAGTGCATTCAGGCGATATATATATATATATATATATATATATACAGTGTATATATATA